GGAAAGCCACTGAGAGCAGAGAGCTGGAGAGAGCCAGGAAGGACGAGGGGAGGGGGAAGAGAAAGGGTGCCAAGGGGGTCACAGGCTCCAACAGTCCCTAGGGGTCCCCAGGCCTTTATTTCAAGTCTTCCCAGCCATACCCATTACTGTTGCCAAGAACCCTCCAGGCAGGGCACGGGGACAAGGCAGGGAAGGAAACAGGTGGGCCCCTTGGGCATAGCAATCATGCCCAGCAGGGAGAACAGACAGTACACAAAACAAATTCATGTCAGCAGTGTGAGGTTCCCTGAAAAGAGCAGAGGGCAGGGGAGAGGCCTCCGCACTCAGCCTCATCTGAGGAGCCTGGAAGGCTTCTTGGCAGTCAGATCTTACCCAGGTTTGCGGGAAGGCGGTGGAGGGGAGAGCAGGCGAGAGAAAGGGTGTGCCCCTGGAGGATGTGAGAGAAGGCCCTGTGGCCCTGAGGAGGCCCATGTTGCTGGCAAGGCTGCAGGGAACAGGCCTCTCCGATGGCTCCAGCTCAATGGTGACCACAGAAGTGAGCCCAGGAGCGGCAGGGAGGATATTTTCACAGGAGCCCTCAGGCTGTCATGTGCAGGCACTGGACGGTGTTCCACGCATCAGATGTGAATTGCAGGGGCACCTCACAACCAATTCAGATGCTGGGTGGAACAGGGTGGGGCCATGAGCGGTTGAGGGCTGAGGCAGCTCTGTCCACTGAGCTGGTTTAAAAGAGGAAGTGAGGGGAGAGGGTTTCAACCCAAAGAGGATAACAAGTCTATTATCCTTGGTCACTTTCTTTGGAGGTTACATTGGGACAGATCTGCCATAGGTACTGAAGGCCATAGACAAAGAGTATAGACAAAGAAAATAGCACAAAAGCATGAAGAACTCCCCAATCAGTGGAATGGAAAGAGAAGGAATGACAGCAAAGATCAGGTGGCAGTCAGAGGAATGGGAAGAGAGCCAGGCTGGAGAGGGTGGCAGACCCAAGGGGAGGAGAGGACTTCCAGAAGGGCATGGCCAGCAGCCTATTCTCCAAGAAAGTCACTGAAGACTTTGGAGAGTGGAGACAGAGGCCAGATTTCAGAGAGCCAAATGGGTAGAGAGGAAGTGCAGTGGGGTGGGGTTTGGGAGTATAAGGTAGGTGAGGAATTGGCACTGCCTGAGTGGGTAAGGGGAGAGGCAGAGGGAGGGGCACCACAGAGCCAACATGCAAAGACCCTCCCGTGCACCCACTGACTCTTCACTCCACAAACATGGCTAAGACACACCTATGAGAGAAGCATGGGATGGGCGAGGGTGGAACAAGGAAGCAGGCCCACCCTTTGAGTGCAGGCCCCAGGAGCAAAGTCAATCCAAACAATTTTTAAGGTAATGTGTTGATGTAACAACTGTTGACACTGTAATAAACAGATGCTGGAGGGAGCAGTGTGAAAGCAAGGCTCAAGACTTGGAGGAGATAGTCAAAGGGTGGCTCTCCAAGCAGGGCCCCAGGCCCTCCTTGCTCCCCTGCCCTGGAATCAGGGTAGGCCTCCATGCAGCTTTCATCCCATGTGAATCAAATGAGTGAAATGAGCACATACAACTGGGGGCAGATTTTTTTCTTGAGATCCCACCTTTCATCTCCCTCATAGAGAACCACCTAAAAAGGGTCCCCCTTCCAGTGGTGTGCTGTAGCTGGTTTATGTCATGTTTGGTGACACTCCATTGGATGCTTAAAATCAACCTTGATGAAAGTATTTACACCACGGAAATGGGCAAATGCTACAGGTCAGGGCTCTTTCATCCAGAGAGCCAATTGTTAAACATTTACCAGCACACCTTCACAGGCTGACCCCATCTCACTTACCCTTGGCTTCCTCTCCGCAGTGAACGGGAAGGCCACAATCACCATGGAGAGCTGTGCCCCAACGCTGTTCATGTTTATGCTCAATGGCAAGCAAGAGCATGGGCTGCTGAGCCTCCAGAAGAACGGGATGAAGCTGGAGGTCTACCCTCCAACCATGGGCACCCACAAGCTGCAGATCTTTGCCAAAGGCAACTCTGACATCTACAGCTCAGTGCTGGAGTACACGCTCAAGTGTAACTACGTGGACTTGGGCATCCGGCTGCCAGCTGAGCTGCACCAGCCCGTGGGCCCCAGCTGGTTCTCAGAGAAGATGGGCATCCTGAAGCCCTCCCACCCTGACCCCATGATCCACACCACTGATGGGCGCTGCTCCATCAGCTTTGGCGTGGAGGAGGGCATCAGCGTCCTGGCTTCCCTGCACGGGGACGATGGCCCCATCACCGAGGAGACGCAGCGGCGCTACATCTTCCAGCTGCACCGGGAGAAGCGGACAGAGCTGAAGGTCCAGCTGCCCCATGCCGGCAAGTTTGCCCTCAAGATCTTTGTCAAGAAGAGGCAAGAACCAGGCAACTATGTCTTTGTCTTCAATTATCTCCTGTGCTGCACCAACACCAAGGTGAACTGGCCCATGTTCCCCGAGAGCTTTGGCAACTGGGGGCAGGACAATGAGTTGCTGGAGCCTCTGTCAGGCACGCTTCCTGCCAACCGGAATGTCCCATTCAAGTTGAAGCTGCACGGAGTCGCCAAAGTTCTGGTGAAGGGGCAGGACACGTGGCCCCTGACCCTGAACAGCGAGGGCTACTGGGAGGGCAGCTGCAACACAGCCGGCTGCCAAGAAGTCTATGTCATGGTTCTGGAGAACGCCAACCACAGCTTCTATTCCTACATCCTGAAATATAAAGTGAATGACCAGTGAGGGCCCGAGCCCAGTCACCTGGCCAGGGAGGGCCCAAGGGAAATGCAGAGAGCCCTGGACACCACCGAGTCTGCATGGAATCACTCCCGGGCCTCTGCCTCTGTCTCCCTGCTCTGCCGCAGGAGCTGTGATGTTTGTGTTCTGATGGCTTCACTCAGTTGTGGCGATGGCTGAGGGGACAGAGGCATAGGCTCTTTAGAAGAAAAAGGTGCTATGTAAATCCAAGGTATTGTGAACTGTACGCCACTGCCCAGGTGCCCCCTTCTCATATTCATGCCGTTGTTGTTGTAGGGTTGATGCGGGAAAGCAGGGGTGTTGCCCAGACTGAGAGCTCTTCACATGATGGTGAGAGGATTAATTCTCCTTGGGGCCCCTGAGGGATGTGATTTGTAAGCTGAGTCATCTCTGATCCTAGAGGCCCTTCCCAGGCACATCTCAGTGTTTCTCACCCACTCCTGGATTCCAGGGAAGGTTGGACTGTCATTTTTTCCCCAGACCTGACCATCTTCAGCATTCCTGCTGCCTCTTTATTAGGTGCTTCTTGCTCTTGGGGGAAAAGAAGATGTGGAGTGGAAGCCAGCGCCCCCAACTGGCTGGAGGCTGGTGGCCCCCACAATCCCTGTGTATACTGGGAATGTGGCAACAGAGAAGCTTTGAGGAGACTGGGAAGCAGAGAGAAGCCATGCCCAGCCTTGGGTGTCCTGGGTGGGGGCACCATGGCAGTCTTGCAACCTGAGTCTGCAGGATGAGACCTCTGACTCTGCGCCCAGAGGAGCCTGCCAGACAGTTGGTTCAGGTTGGGGTGACCTTCAGGTCCCCTCCGAGCCTGCACCCTGCACAGGGAGCTTCAAGAGGCCTGCCAGCCCCTGGGGAGCCTTGTTGATAGCCCTAAACACAGACCTGGGCGAGGAAGCCAGGCAAGGGAGCAGTGCAATGCTGCAGTGCCAAGGAGACTCCCAGATAACAGGGCTCTACAGGCCCCCAGGAGTCCCCACCAGCACAGTCACAGCTGAGGGACCTCAACCTGCTCTGAGGGCAGTTTTTGTGCTTGTCCCTATGCCATCTCCCTTCCTCCTTTTCTCTGACAAGAGAGATCCTCGAGGTCCCACCTTCTGTGGGGACAGTTCAGAGCCCCTTGCTTGCTCAGGTCCGAGAAGCCTTGGCTGCCCAGCTGGCCCTCAGCAGCACCTCTGGCAGGCGTTGCCATGGCAACCGTGGGAAGGCTGGCTCCAGCGAGGGCAGTGGAGAGGGAAAGATGGAGAATGCCCTGGTGGCTGATGCAACACCATTGGGCACACAGGCACATTCAAGGTGGCCCCTGCTGACCTCCGGGCTTCTCCGGCTCTGTGGCCTCTGGCTATCTCAGTGCCCCACCCCTGAGAGCCAGCACTGCCCAGCACTCTCCCCTCACTGCTGCTCCAATCGCCCCCAGGCTCAGCTCCAGCCAGGGCCCGCCAGGCATCCTCACAGCCTCCTCTGCCTTCATTCTCACATTTGTGTATTCAACCAATGTTTGTGGGCACTTCATAGGCACCAGGCACTGTGCCTCGTGCTAGGGTTACAGCGGAAACAAAAGGGGCCCTGCCCCTGCCATCCCAGAGCTCAGGGTGGGTGGCAGCTGCCTCCTCACCCAGACCTGCCTCAAGTTCCAGGCTCCCAACACTTCAGTCCCTCATCCCCATGGGCTCCCTCCTCAAAGGTCCCCGCTGCCACCCAGCGTGGGCCTGGCCCAGAGCAGTGTTACAGCAGTAACATCTTCCACCAGGCTAGAGGCCCTGGAACTCGAGGGGAGTGCCCCCCACGGGGGGCTGAGCTGTCCTGGCCTGTGTCCAGTGCCTTCTGGCAGGCTCTGCCACCCAGGCATTCAGCACCATGTCACTCGCCTGGGAAACGCACAAAGGCCCTGGGGAAGGAACTGCTGTGCCCCACGACAGGGAAACAAGGGGAGTTTTTACACCCTGAAAACAGCCTTTTCTCACACCTTTGATTTTATGGCCTGAAAGAAATGTGCTGTTTCATCAAAATAATAAGTTCCTTCAATGACTCCTGTCATTCACTGGAACCCCAAGCTGGCTGCCTCCTGCTGAGAAGGACACGCATCTTTTTAAAAACAATGTACTTAATCAATATATTCAAAATAGGGGCTGTCCGGAGAAGCGGAAAGCGAGGCCCAGCCTCTCAAAGTGCCTGCAGAGCATCCGCGTGCCCTTCGCCGGTTAATCAGGCGACCCCATTGTAAAGACAGCTGTAGACACAGTCAGAAAATCACCTGCATTTCTTTCCACTGAAGTAAAAATACATGAAATGAAATCTCATATTCATGAATTTTTACACGCATGCTGCTCAGGGTAGAATTTGGGGTTGCATTTTGAGGTCTTTTCAAATCCCCGTCTTTGTTTCCCGGTCCACGAGTCCCAGCAGCCGGTGGAATGGCACGGGCGCCCCCTGGTGCCCAACCTGCGGAACTGTCGTCGCTGCACACCTCCGCAAGGCTGAACCTATCCCTGAGGGTTTTCCGCAGAATTTGCAAAATGCTGCCGAGATGTTTTGTGTTAAATTCACTTGGTGCTCTCTCGTGGCTTCTCAGGGCTTCCTCGTGTGTACACTAGCACATTTTTGCCACGCACAAGCTGTGAAGCAAATCTGGGGGACTGCCTGGCGAGAAGACACGGAGTATAATAGGATTGGGGCGTGCTTGGCCCAGAAATCCCATCTTGAAACTGAAACACTGGACATTGGACTGGATGTCAGCTTTGACCACACTCATTACTATGCCAGGGAAAGACTGAAGCTGACCATACTTGGAGAGCTTTGGCTGGCACGTCCCAGGATGACCAGCCCTGAGGCCACAGGCGGAAGGGTGTGGAGGGTTCCAAAGGGAGGGAGAGTGCAGGGGCAAATGGGCTACAACCACAACTGCAATGAACTTCTTTTCAGCTCGTTTGGGAAGCGGCACCAGCACAGCTGGACTCCGTTTTCAGTCTGATTGTGATGGTTGTGAGTTCCCTGTATGTTACATTGTCCCACCAAGACAAACTCCGCACATACAGCCTGCTGAGATTAAAGGGAAAGAAAGAGATTAACTGAAGCATGAAGGATTTAGGCTAGACATAAAGAACTATTTCCGGTTGTTAAGCAGGAGGGACACGTTGGGGAGAAAGTTTGTGAAACCCTCTTCTCAAAGGACTTGGAAAGTGGAAACGTTTTGCCAGTGGTCTGGGGTTTTAGAAGCCACGCTAACTGCTCACTGCAAGGACTCGGTTCTCTCCAAACCAGTTAATCTTGAAACCAGTTAATCTTGAAACACATTTGATCGCCCACAGCAAACACAGGGTGAATGGTATTGCCGCATCCTTTGCTATTGGGAAAAGTGTTCAGCGGTGTCCCCCGTGCATCGGTGTCCCGCATCAGTTTATCTGAGGCCATCATTTCTTTTCCTTTGGAATGACTAGTTGGACATCTTTAAGAGGTGATTACTTTGCATTATGCGTGCATTGAGTTGTGTGGGCCTGTGGCTGTTGAATATGCTTTTCCCACGTTGTTGCTGGTGTTGTTTTTCAATAAAATTTATATTCATTTTTATCCAACAATGTAATTATCGATCCATTCTTATCACTGCTCTCACAAGGGGGGGGGGGACAGGAAGAAACACTTTCATGTTCAAAGGAGGCCCTAAGAGGAAGAAAAAAAATCAGTGTCCCAGCCGTTTGAATGTGATGGTGAGATGCAAATGGGATGTCGGGCAAATAGCTATTTCACATTAAAGAAAACATAATTAGGTTAACTCCGGCCCCTCTCTGGTTCGCATGCCTTTGAAGAACATGAAGGCAGCATTTCTTTCAATGAATCTTGTTTAACTTGAAATTTTTAAAGTCAATCCTAATTTCTGTTTTTAGTGGGAGAAAAAAGAATATACCCAAAATGCCTATCACTGTACCTTTTTTGTTTTGAGTATATGTAAATAGATATTTCTTGAGATTCATATGCTTTCCAGCAGGCTTTCTAAACAGATTATTCATAAATTAGACATTTAGGGAAATACAGAAAATGAAAATCTAGGCACATCTAGGAAGCTGCCGTAACCATGGAGACCATTCTCGTAGCTGTGGTGTGAAGGACAGAAAGAATTTGTGTTCCCAAATCCACCCCCACCGTGGCCCTTACCGCTAGATGCACGCACCTGAGTCCCAGCATGCTTCTCCTTAGGAAGGAGGCCCCTAGGCGGACCGTGTTAAGGGAAGTCAGAAGAAACAGTCTTCGCATAATAGAAGAAGGAACTCTTGAATTATTAGAACAGTCTGAAAATGCCAACCCCGAGGCTGGAATGAGTGACCTCTAACGTCCCTTCCAGTAGGGAGAGTCTGTGATGCTGTGTCTCCGTGAACAGATGCTGGCGGGCGGTAGACCTGGGATTGTCATCTGCGGAACATCTGAAGGGCCCTGCTGCGTTAAGAGCTGCCCTGCAACCCCCAGCAGACTGTGCTCCAGCATTCTCTCTTGCCTGAGGGCAAGGGGCTGGAGAGAACCCAGCCTCGGGACCAAAGGGGAGGCAACAGCCCCCGACTGAATGTTGCTTCTCTCTGGTTTTGCAAGCAGAACTAAAGAAAACTAAAAGTCAGGCGGCCACTGAGGTGTCCTCTCTTGTATGTCTCAGAGGCATCACAGAGTCAAAAGATATGAACCAAAGTCCTCTTCTCCCCCAGATTTCCTCCAACTCCTCCTGGGCCCCCCAAAGCAGTAAATGCATCCCCATCTCACAGGGCCTAAGTCAAACTCCTGGTGGCCACTAATGACTCCTTCATCCCCTCCGAGTGATGAAATTTGGCCTATGCTGGCTGTGTCTCATCTCTTTTCCAACTCCACGTCCACTCCATTGCACGGCCTTTGCCATAACTCAAGCCCTCTTCATCTCTCCGTTACACTAGTGTGACTGCTTCCTGTGATGGCACGATCCCTCCCCCTGCCTCAGGACTCTCCATGTTTCCTCTTACATGAACACCACAACTACTGGGTGTGTTAAGACAAGGTTTCCATGAAAGCCTTCCAGAAGATGTGTACCACCTGTGGAGAAGGCATAATTTGTGTCGGTCACT